GGCCTTGTAGTGATGCTTATCAAGTATAACCAGTCAAATGTCTTCCCATTACCTTTAAGTCTACGATTTAAGTATATGTTAAAAGACCATTAAAAACCATTAGGGTACCAATTGGGAACTAATAGATACCCAGTCCATACTCACAACACACTTAAAACCATTAGAGACCATCAAGGTAGAAACACTTTTGAAGCACACTTGTCAGTTGTCACACATCTGGAAACGGGGCTGCAAAGTGATGGATTTATGACTCTGAAAAGTGCATGAAAAAGTGTCGAACACGAAATATCGCACATATATTATTTTCCATTTCTTTTGTCTATTATACAATGAGCCAAAGGCCATTACTTGCTTATCTTTTAATCATAATGGGGCTCATTTTCAAAGAAACCCTCAATATCATTCAAGATGAAATGGTTTATTCCATTTGGAACCAATTGGGATCAAATGGAAAACACCATTTGAAATCAAATGGGATTTATTTTCCAATAGGAAACCATTTCAAGACCAATTGGTCCCAAATGGAAAACACCATTTCAGACCAATTGGGAAATTACCAATTGGAAACCATTTCGATACCAATTGGGGACATACCATTTGGGATGAAATGGTTTGATTCCATTTGGAGACCAATTGGACACCTATTGGGATCAAATGGGAAAACACATTTGAGATCAAATGGGAATTTCTTCCATATGGAAACCATTTAGATACCAATTGGGATCAAATGGGAAACACCATTTGGGATGAAATGGTTTATTCCATTTGAAACCAATTGGGATCAAATGGAAAACACCATTTGAAATCAAATGGGATTTATTTTCCATTAGGAAACCATTTCAAGACCAATTGGTCCCAAATGGAAAACACCATTTCAGACCAATTGGGAAATTACCAATTGGAAACCATTTCGATGCCAATTGGGGACATACCATTTGGGATGAAATGGTTTGATTCCATTTGGAGACCAATTGGACACCTATTGGGATCAAATGGGAAAACACATTTAAGATCAAATGGGAATTTCTTCCATATGGAAACCATTTAGATACCAATTGGGATCAAATGGGAAACACCATTTGGGATGAAATGGTTTATTCCATTTGGAACCAATTGGGATCAAATGGAAAACACCATTTGAAATCAAATGGGATTTATTTTCCATTAGGAAACCATTTCAAGACCAATTGGTCCCAAATGGAAAACACCATTTCAGACCAATTGGGAAATTACCAATTGGAAACCATTTCAAATGGTTATGAAAACCATTAGAACCTATTTCAAACCATTTGACACATTTGAAACCAATTGGTAAATCCTAATGGTTTCAAATGGAATTTTTTACTGGGAAGGTGGTAGGTTTTAGGTTGTAGGTTTAAGATTGTAGGTTGTAGGTAAGGTCGGGCCAGGTTTGGCTAGGTTTAGTTCGATTTGACTTGATTAGCTGGCATCTCCGGGTAGAGCGCCTCTCCCTGGTTGGAGAAACAAGTGTGGGGCTTGCTTAACGACTACCACATTTTTTTCTAATGCATGATTTTACTAGATTTTACAATTTGAAACATGTCAAAAAAACTGTTTAAGAGGCAATTGGTGTACATTGCTCAGACCATCACCTTGTCAATATAGCCAATGCAGCATCAGCATTGTTATGAGGGCTAATTATTGCATATCTGATGGCCATGCTCAGCCCAAAATTTAAAAACATTCATAGCTGAATAAAAATTTAATCACTCATCAGCATTTCAAGACAATTTCATTGCGCGATACAAACCAACCTCTGATGAACAGACACTATAAAGGAAAATAATGACAGAAAACCTGGTGATATTATAAGCGATCTGATAAATAAAGCTAGAGTTGCCTGAATCCTCAATAGTCCGATCTAAAATCGCAAATTTGCCCAAGGCCCTATATACCAGGTAGGGTCGTCCGGCGATTCTACCTTTTCGTGACGTCAGCTCGTGACGTCATTTGGAGTCAAGTCTCGAAGCCCCGTTCAATCCCCATGTAAATGAGCGATTTTCGAAGCACTGTAGAATGAAGTCTGCACAAGATATATCAAACTTAAGTATCTTATCTGAAAGAGCAGACAATTTTCTGCAAGTTATCCTTTACGTGTTTTTCGCTAAATCTTTTGCTTTTTTCACAAAAGCGTAAAATGTCCCCTCATGTCTCCGCAGCCTCCCTGCCGCCGGCCGCCGCGCGGTCGCGGTAGTGTAGTGGTTAGCGTGCCCGCGCAATATTCCAAAGGTCCCGAGTTCGAATCTATGCGGTGCGGAACTTTAATTGCAATTCCAAGCTGAATATACGCATATCCATAATAAATTATTATTCGTATAGCTAAACTGTCACCAAGCTATCCATATAAATTGACTTCACCCAAAATATCGGCAAGATTCTATTAAAATATAAATTCAAATATGGCGGCTTGGACTGCCGCGTGCGTTAGGCTCCGCCCATAGCTCCGCCCACATGCGTGACGTCATTCGTGTTAGTGGACACACGCGGAGATAGGGGACGACATGGGCCTGAATTTGCCCACTATCACCACCTATTTTAAAGGGACCCTCCCACCTTCAAAAAAGTTTATGAATTGGCATGAAAGTGATGTCACTCGGTTCAGAAAGAGCGAAAACGAATATCTACCAAATTTCACCGAAAAATATTCACCGGTTTTCAATATATTAGACTTTTACTTTTGTTTACTTTTTGGGATCTCCGCTGTTCCTAGCGACTTTATTTAAAAGTGCGGCATTTGTTGCGCGCAACGCAGCATATACCACCGCGTGCTACAAAACGTTTTAGTCAAACATTTAACGGACGTTCGAAAGCCTGATGACGTCATCAGATTCCCGTAATGGTTAAGAGATAGGGACCACGCTGGTCCCACCCCAACACATCCTCGAACATAATTGGCAGCTGCCGGACATTGGTCACGTGACCACATTTTCCGTGTGACCTTGAGTTGGCACCAGATTTTGTCGACAGACGTGGCGCAGCTTATTTTACTGCATTATTTTAGATACTAAATATTTAGGCGTGTGGTGGTAAATGATACCGTGCAAATAATATTGAATCATCGGTGACATAGTTCAACCATTGATACTTGAAAAGCATCAATAAAATGCAATTAATCTATTATTACTCTTCCGTTGATTTTATTGTGTTTGCAGGCATAGGTAGAAACTGAAAAGCTGCCTGAGCCTGCAGCTTACAGTTGTTCTATACAGTAGCGGCGAAACACCTTCAATTAAGGGGGGGGGGGCACTGCTGACTTTCGGTCCGATTCTTTCCATGCAACGCCCATAGGGCTAATGTTAAAATGCCAAAATTATAGGGGGCACGGTGCCCCGGTGCCCTCCCCGTTCCGCCGCCTATGGTTCTATAACTCTTAATGCATAAATCAATGCTACTGAGGGCTGCAAATTTGTTTTTTACCTATCTTTAATAACTGATGCCCTACCTTCATCTACCATTATCTGTAAGAATCTTGCATCAATCATCACCAGACTTCTTAGTTTTTTTTTTACATACCTACGCCCCAGCCGCGAGAGTGGGCGGGTACGACTCCCTCGCCTTATAATTGAGCTAGCCTCGCGCGAAAAACGAGCATGTGTGCCGTTACGGGACCGGGGACGCAGCGATTGATGCACGGTTTAAAAGTCTCAGGTCAACTGATGCCCTCTGAGGGTCAGGTCAAGTGCCCCGAGGGCCAAAATACGATTTCGGGTTTTGAAAAATAACTTTGTCAAAAAAACGGCGCAGGGCTGCTATTTTAGTACCATCATGTTTGTCATGCTCCGGTGCGTCAAAATGGTACACTTTTGTTTGGGTGGGGTCAACATAAGGTGTTCACATCGGATCAAAGCCAGGTCAGAGGCACTCAGGTCACGAACTTGGTCGGAGGAGGTTATATCGCATATCATTCGATTCGGTAGGTCTTCCCGAGTCTATTGGCGACTTTTCCGACTTGCCAGCTCAATTTTATCAGGAGTTATTGACGAAAAACTTGTGACATTTGTGACGTCATGAATGACGTCACGCGAGGTTAAAGATGCAAAAGTGAAGCATTGGACATTGCAAGAATTGCTTGAAATTGCGATTCCATGTGCTTGAGCTAGGTTTAGATCATTCTCGGCGTCAAAATTGCAGTTTCCATATTTTCCCCATTGACTTGTAATGGTGACGTCGCGCGATCGGCCTGACCTCATGTGACCTCTAGGAGAAATCTGAGATATACAAGTTTTGAGACTCCTAGAGGATACTAGGTCCTGTAAGTATCATCTCGCTGTGACAGCTCCTCTGGCACCGAGGGCGTTGCGAAGTTTCGGTATTTTGGGACTATTGCAGAGGTTCACGTGTGACGTCATAAGTCAGTGACCTGACCTGAGACGGAAATGCAATTGGTTTCCAAAGATGCGTATGGAAGCAAAGATAAGGTGTGCCAAATAGCAGCCCTCTAACTGTAAGGTGTTTTGAGCTATCGCCAAAAGTCGTGAGTGGAGCGCTACTGACTCCTCCGGTCGGCCGCCGGGGGTAAGGAGGCGTGCAGGGTATCGGAAAACCACCTGGTACTTCGCGAATTTTGCCGATAAAAATACGTTTCTTATGCCAACTTGTAGCCAAAAGACTACTGAATCTCAAACCAGTCGTATCCTTGCACTAAATGGCTTGGTTTAGACACGATAGGTCTGAAAAGAAAAGGTCCCATGTATTCTCTATGGGCGCCGCGAGGCCGTTGGCACCAGAGTTTCGGGAAGTGCCCTCGCCACAACCGCACGTGCAGATTTGGTCACGTGACCAAGCGCATTTGCCGCCACTGTATTTATATACACTGTGATAATTGGTAAGGATGTCTACCAAGGGGGGAAGGATTTATTGGTGCGATGAGCGACCAATGAGGGAGCTCGTTGGTGCCCGATAGTACCAATGCGCAGAAAGCCAATGGGAACGGATAGGATGCGCATGTACCGCAGAAGGATACGAAATATGCGAAATAGTGGCGGGCGGCGGCGGCGCAGGTGCGGTGTGGGGTGTAGAAACGTGGGAGAGATGGTAGGTATGGGCAAGGCTATAGAACCGGCCTACTTCTCTCCTTGCTTTTTTGCTGCTGGCTGTATATATTCCTCTTGCAGGATTTCTGACTCACCTCACCTAGTGAGAAACATAAATTGTACCGAAAAACGGGGTGAAGTGATGCACTTTTTATTTTCATACCCCGGTAGTTTTGAACTTTTTTTTAAGAATGTTCCAAATGTAGAGTTGTGGTCTCTATTAATGATTCGTAATGATTTAACCCTATTGATGGTGGGCTTTTTGGACTACGTTAACTGGACGCTGGTGGGGGGGGGGGGCAATTCGGCCCCCCTTCGATATCTTGAAAACTAAACGTTCGATCTTGATGGGTTGAAGGCCATTTGATTCCTCTCATTGTGAACTTTCAGATTGACTAACAAGTAAAAAAGGGCTCCTGGAAACCAGAAAATTCGAAAATTGCATTTTATACCTCATCACTAAAAATGCTATAAATTCTTTCTTTTTTTACTGTTTTTGGTGAAGTTTTAGGGGACCCTTCTTCATGAACAGGGTCTTCATATTGATATATATTCCAGTATTTTGGATATTTTAGAAATCATAGGTGGATTCAGGTAAGCTAACTTGGGATGATGTTTTGAGATTTTGTCATGGGTGGTGTTTAACTGGTGATAGCAGCACGTTGCTATCATGTACATTTTGTGCCTACGTTGCTTATTTTGCATGATATAAGACACATCATGTCATAAGACACATGACATACCAGGGTGGTGTTTCAAAATTTCCAACAGCGCTAACATCTTCATTTTTTAAGGAATCAAGACGTAACAAAATATGCGATCGGACCGCCTGAATACAATTTTCTAGGTGAGGACGTATATATATATATATATATATATATATATATATATATATATATATATATATTTACAGTGTACAGAGTTTTGAAGTTTGTTGTAGTCAGGGTGCCAAGCCAAAGGTCATTTTAAGAAGTTTCAGATAAGGTCATTTTAAGAAGTTTCAGTGCTGACATGGCTTTGTTACTGGCCTTCAGCGAGCTAGACACCAAAACTCCCAGGTCTTTCTCCATCTGTTTCTATAAGCTTCAATGCCTCTCCATTTGGCTGTTTCAGATGCCTTTCTGTGGGATTTCAGGTGCCAAAATGCATTACTTAACACTTCATCGCATTGCACTGTAAGAGCCACTTTTCGGACAAGCAGGCTAGTGTGTCCAGGTCAGATTGGAGCACTTCTGCATCTTTCTTGCTTGACACCAGTCGATACAGCTTTGTGTCATCAGCATATAGTTTCATTTTGCTGTGGACAAGTCTTGGCAGTTCATTGATGATTTTCATTCAGCAATGAACATTCGAACATTCTAATATTTTCATTGCAAAATGATGTCACATAGGCTATAGGTGCATTACATATGATGGATGGTGCCACTGATCACCAGTACAAACCTAAGTAAGTCGCTGCTTAGCGGCAAATGTCTGAATAGTCAAGGCTGGACCAAAACTGTCCCTGAGAAACTCGTCCTGGACGCCTCTGTGCAAGCTAGAAACTAAAAAATTTGACACAATGTGCCCGATGAATAGCAAGGAAAAGTCACCATGAGGTGGGGTGAAGTGAGACACTGACTTTTTCATTACCATATAGCTCACTTAGTGGCATTTTAGACAGGCTGTAGGAACAGCATGCCCTAATTAAATCGAGGGAATCATGCAAAGGTATCCCTTTAAGTGGCAAGGGGGTGTTATGTGCCCATGCAGTGGGGATCTCTCAGACCCCTGAAAGCCCTCTGCAGTCTGATACTGGCCTTAAACATCAGTACTTAAAAGACTGCTTTTTAATAACATTACAAATTATGACATTGCCCTAAATATGCCCTGGTGCAATACATAGGTATATATGGGCGCAATTGAGAATTCATCACATGACGGGAAAATATTGATAATGCTGCACATGAAGCATGTAGGTGCTGTCTTGTCCTTTGTCTTTCCATGCTTGACACACTTACCAAAACACCTTACCTTACCTTACCTTACTTTACCTTACCTTACTGTTCGCGGGACTTTGGGAGGCCGGAGGCCTTTTGGACCCATTCTCATCAAGCCCTTTGGATCTCAGTCAGGTATTGCTCTAGCTTAAGTAGGAATGTGGTAGATATGATTGGACTAGTGACTATCAAGCTGGTTCTTGAACTCCTTTGTCGAGGTCGCCGCCACGACGTGGGAAGGCAGGAAGTTCCAGTCATTTAGTGCCTGGATGCTCCAGTTGTTTCTCAGAGCTCTTGTCCGTGCTGTTGGTTTAGCTAGCTGCATGGAGTAACCTCTTGTACCAGTAGAGAGAGAGAGAGCCGGCTGGAAGAAGTTATCCTTTGTCATGTTGAGGTGGTTGTTCATCAGCATGTACACCATGACGTCCATGCTGCGTCGTCTGTGTAGAGGAGAGTGTAGAGGAGAGGTGGAAGTTTCAGTTTGCTGAGGCGCTGCTGGTACGGAAGATGACGGACCTCCGCGACAAGACGGATAGCTCGATGCTGTACTCGCTCCACAAGAAGCTGGTCTTCCTTGTTTAAGGGTCCCCAGACAATGTTCCCGTACACCAAGTGGATGCGCACCAACGTCTTGAAGAGAAGGTGTAGGTAACGTCTGAGTGTCCAGTTGCTCAAAAGAACGCCTGATGATCCCCAGGATCTGGTCTGCCTTCGTCATGACATGACCGTAGGCGTAGCACCCTGCTTTCGAAAGTTCAACTGCCCATCGACAATGACTCCCAGGTCCTTCTCATCCACAACTTGTGCTATGGGGGCTCCGAGTAGGGAGTACTCGTGTATGGCATTGCCAGTCCCAAGCTGCAGGACCTTACATTTTTTTCTGGTTGAATGGCAACAGCTAGGTAGCGGGCCAGTGTTCGAGAGTTTCTAGGTCCAACTGCGTCTGGTTGCTGCCCTGGATTTCTTCCAGCCAAGACTCGCATACAGGGTGTAACGAAATTATCCGGACATATATTTTTTCGCCATATCTGCTCACACAGTTTCCTTTTTAATGTTAGAAGCTGGAAAATTGGATGAATGCGTGCCTTTGGTATCTGCTTTCAACTCAGCAGTGACCTGACCTTGCGAAATGACTTTTGCTCTGAGTAAGAGTCGAGTCGCCGACGGGCGACGGGTTCATTTGATAGTTTTCGTTTAAGGCAGTGGAGAGAAGGGAGTACAGTCTCGTTTCGTAGTAAGGCTACGTGTTGCTGGCATGGTGATATGAGGCAGAAGCTGGTCTGTCAGCAGCTGGACATCAGCAGCAGCCAGTAGCACATCTATCTGAGGCGTAATAAGCTGGGACTTGATGGCAGACTCAGACAGTCCTCGATCGCAAAAGGCGCCCTTTGCCAAGTGGTGAGGAGAGTTGTCGAGATAGCGACAAGGAAACGGCACCAATTAATCCGCAAACTGACTCGAATTCTCACCAAGGCAGATAATAAAAGGTCCCACATCATGATTCACCGTTACCCGCCCTGTAGCTTGGTTTTACTGCCCTTCAAACTGAAAAAGATAATGAAATTTACGGGAAAACAACCAGTCCCACCACCTTTGGCCTCAGGCCAGGGCGTGTCAACTGGTCGAAGGAAGACATGAATGAGGTGGCTTACTCGGATGGGAAGCTGTTCGAGCTGCGATATCCGTTGAACCGTCAAATCGGCCATGTGTGGGCTGCCAGCAGCTCGAACGTGCCGGCCGTCGCCGGCGTAAAAAATCCGGTCAAAATCCAGACCTGGAGCATGTTCAGCTGCTGTGTAATATTCAAGCTGTTCATGACGCCACAGAAAACCACTATCAGTGACGAGTATTACCGGCGCAACATCCTGGCTAGCGATTGGTTGGAGCCATTCAACCAGACGGCACAGGAGGGCTCGGTTTCTGAACGTGTACCGATGCCTGATTCAAGCCGCGCAGTCTTCATGCGGGGCGGCGCACCACCTTCAAGTCCCTAGCAGAATGAGAAGTGATGCCGAGATGACGTATTTTTCTTCAGGACTAACGGGCTATGGCTTGGAAATAGTTCTCATCCCAATTCCATCGATATCTTATGGACTATTGTCCAGCACGAGATGAATTAGGGGACGCCCGCCACCAGCGCCGTCTAACTGTGGGCACAGATTAGTAAGGCGCTACTCTACATGAAACCCACTGTGCTGGAAAACTCAGTGGCTGGAATGCTCCAAAAATTGAACCTGCGCTCTTCTGAAAGGTGGCGAAAATATCATATTGTTTTGATCCTTAATTACAGCGCCAAGAAAGATGTCTGGATGATTTCGTTACACCCTGTACAATTTCGTGTCGTCCGCGAATAGTTTGATGCCATTTGACACATTCAAGGAGGTCATTGACGAAGACAACAAAGAGAGTCGGACCCAGGACCGAACCTTGTGGGATGCCGCTCCTTACGGCACAAATTGTTCATTGGTCACAAACTGTTCACAAGCAGGAGCAGACCTGGCCCCGTTCACGACTACTTGCTGACTGGCGACTGAATCCAGTGAGGAAGACCTTGATCCATTTCAGCTGATTCCCACGAACCACAAGGTCGTGCAACTTCTGAAAGAGGCGCTGGTGGGGGAAAGAATCGAACGCCTTTTGGAAATCGAGGTAGGCGACTTCAGCTGACTCCTTATCTTATTCTCAATCAGTTGCTTCCAGTCCTACAGGGATGACAGGATCTGGATAGCACATGATCTTCTTGGGAGAAAACCGTGCTGAGCATCGCTCAGCTGTCCCGTTTCGGTTAGATGCTGAACAAGCCTGTCACGGTCTATTCCTTTAAGTATCTTTGACAAGACTGATGTCAAGCTGATTGGCCGGTAATTTGTGGACTCGTGCCTGCTGCCGCTCTTGAAGATAGAGACTACAGAACCCTTCTTCTACTCGGATGGGAGCTCACCGCTCTCCAGCGATTTCTTAAACAGTGAGCTGATGGGAACGCGCAGTGGGGTCGCTAGCTCACGAACGACCCTCGAAGGGATCTCGTCGGCGCCCGGAAAAGTTGAAGCATTGAGATTGAGGAACTTCCTTTCGACCATGCGAGGAGTCACCTCTACTCTCTCGAGGAGAGGACCTTCCCCTGGGATGCGAGGCCAGGAACATCCGAGCAGTTTTCACTTACGAACACGCTGGCAAAAACTCAGAGAGGACAGCGGCTTTCTCCTCTTCAGAGCAGGTCAAGGAGCCATCAGACTTCTTGAGGTCTTCGATCCACTGCGCCAACCTCAAGCGGAAGACTCACTTCCGCACCGCCCAGCTGCGGAAACTCACCGGGCACTCATGGGAACTCCGAGAGCACCCGCTGCGCGCGGTGGCTAATGGTTACGTCCGCAGCGCCATTGAGTATGCGGCGGCCGCGTGGCTCCCCGCGGGGGCCCGCTCAAACGCTCTCCAAAATGGACCAGCCTGTCGATCGTGAGTGTGACCCCTAGCAGCTTTACGGGGGGGGGGGGGTCGCGCGGACAGGTACCCCAGACACCTTGATGACGGTGTCTTTGGCGTCCCGGCTCCACTGTGACAGCACTATGAACTGGGCTTTCTGGCACGTGATTGGCATCTTGTTCCGCGTCGGCC